AATTAAACAATGATAATTGTATATTAAAAAATTTACATAAAAAATATACTCCCTCCGTCCCCTTCTATTTGTCCACTTTCATTTTTGCACACCATCCAATGCACTTCTTTAATCTATTTTATCTTGTAATTTGTATATTAAAAAATTATAAAAATTATATATTAATAATCTATATGTTAAGACAAATCAAACAAGATCACACATGACTATATTTAGGCTTACACATTGAGAGAATTTGATGAGTCAAAGTGCTTAGATGAACAGTTCCAAAAGTCAAATGTGGACAAATATAGGGGGACGGAGGGAGTATAAAATAAGTAGGATAGTGATCGACAAGATTAATTAATTTTATCAAATGATCGATAAAAATTGCATAAAGAAAATAGAGTTAGTTTATCATATACTTCCTCCGTCCCAAAAAGTTTTACACATTTTGACTAAAGTGAAAATTAAAAGAGGGATAAATTTGTGTTGACTTTCCAAAAATAACCTTGATTTGATGTGCAAAAGTAGGATGTGATGTGTAGATTACTAGATTATAAGGAAAAAGGTATGATGTGATAGGTAGGGTTTGAAAAAGTAAGGGATAAAAGTGGTTTTTTTAATAGAAATGGGTAGGAGATTGTGGGACGTAATTCTTTTGAAAGGTGTAAATCTTTTTGGGACGGAGAGAGTATATGAATAATAACTAATAGTCTTTTTTCTAGGATATTTGAGAAAATTAATGCGGAAGTAGAGGAACAGAGGATTTATATACACACCCGCAAAAACACTAATTACATCCGTCAATTAAATACACCCCGGATATATTATTATGTTATTATTCAAAAAAGTTATATAACTTTATTGTGTTAAAAAGACATTATAAAAAATGTTTAAAACTATTCATCATTTATTTCCTTTTATTGTTTTTGGAATAAAAAAACATATACTTTAGTTTTAATTTTAATTATAAAACTTGTGTGCCTCTTCTTTTAATTTTTCATTAATTAAAATAACCTTTATTGTTAATATATTGAATGACCATATATTTTGTATAAAATCTTCTATCTTCTAAGTATTGTGCCAATATGTAATTCACCATTTTTAATATACATAGTTATTTTATTATTTTAAAAAGATGCTTATATAAATCGTACTTAAAAAAATTTATACGGAGTACAATCTTTAAAATTATTCACCATTATTCACTTTTATTTATTTTCAAGAGAAGAAATCTATATAAATGTTAATAAATGTGAATTATTTTTAAAACTACAACTTTTATTTTAAAACGATATCATATTTAATAATTAAAATGTACTCCGTATTTAGTAAAATAAAAACAAATTATTATTAGATGCTATTATGATTCAAACTAAAACTTTTATTAAAATCTTAAAATTACAAAATATTGTATTTGACTTTATGGATTAAAAATATTTTTTTCAAATAAGTATTAGAAATAAATTTAAACTAATGAGATGAGTTTAATGTGTGGAATGAAATTAGTGTTTCGTTGGGCTTTGACTGTCACCACCCTTCACCATATTGGAATACTACATATTGATTTTACAAACATTTAAAAAATGACGAAGAATAAAATGTGATTCCGGGTTCTTGTTATTATTGATTTATGACCCTTCCTTCAACTTACGAGCCCACTACATATTTCACGAGGAAGAGAATATTGCTTTCTACTTAAAATGCGATTAAGATAGAAAATTCAATTAAAAAGACGTATGTATGACTCCTCCGGCTCCAAATTAATTATTCTAATTTAATTTTGTATGAAATTTAAGAAAAATAAAATTGTATGGTTAAAAGTAATATAGAGAATAGAAAAAAAGTCTGACAAAAAGTTTTTCAAAAAAGGAGAACGCATTACATAAGAGTAAAAAAATAATGAAAATACCAAAATAAGGGTCATAAGTCTTTTAAGACTAAAATAGGAATTCACACTGTCATTGTTATACTCTACATTCCCCACATTGTCACATTGTGACTGTTACATTATCGCCACCACACTGTCATCTGCTGTCATTATACTCTTATTTTTGTCTTAAAAGATTTAGGGCTCCTATTATTATATTTTCATATTTTTTTACTCATATCTAGAGAGATTTCTTTTTCAAAAAAGAAAAGAGAAAGCTTAATTAATGACAACTCAAAAAGAAATAAGGATGATTAATTGAGACAGATGGAGCGGAGTCAGTAGAGTATTAGGAAAATTCTTACATTGTTCTAAGATTCATTCTTATCATAAATGTACGAGAAAATCTATATTTCAAATGTGAAT